AGGCCAAAGTGACCTTCGGCCCAACCAGATGCCGTGCAAAGCTTGGGAAGCTGTTGTTGTGGGATCTGGAGGAGAAACCAGCTGCATCAAGGATCTGTGGCAGCTGCCCATCATCCCTTGGAATGGGAAACCACTAGCAACGGCAGCGGCTGCAGCAACGGCTAAGGCAACTGCAGGAGGAGAGGAGACCGCACCAACTGATGGGGCCCTGGATGCTGTCAAGAAGGTGCAGCAGTGCTTGCTGGTGTGGATGCGACAGCTGCATGGGCAAAGGCTTCATCTGGGAGTGGTGAGGCCGATTGGGAGACGTGGCACGAGAGGTTGTGTCACATTAACATTCCGATGCTGCAGAAGTTGGTAAGAAATGGGAGCTTGAAGGGGTTGGAGGTGAAGGGGGCAATGAAGGAGATTGGGAGCTACCCTACATGCCTTGAGACTAAATTCACCAAGTTCCCCTTTAGCAGCAGCACGGGACCAGCCAAGGCTCCACTTGCACTAGTACACATGGATGTGGTGGGCCCCACGAGGGCCCTTTCTCTTTCGGGCAGCCGCTACTTCTTGACGATTGTAGACGACCACACGCATGCGGTGTGGGTGTACCCTCTCAAGACCAAGGGGGAGGAGGCAGCGGCTGTTCTCAAGGAGTGGATGCCGAGAGCACAAAGGGAGAGTGGACACAAGGTGAAGGTGATCCGCACCGACAACGGGGGAGAGTTCATTGGTGCTGTTTTTGAGGCGGTGCTGAAGCGGAAGGGGATCCAGCATCAGCTCACAGTGCCCTACAACCCTCAGCAGAACGGCGTGGCTGAGCGGTTCAACCGGACCCTGCAGGAAGGTGCTCGCACTCTCCTTGGGCGTGCAGGGCTGCCGGATCCGTTTTGGGTGACTGCACTGTGGCAGGTCGCCCTTGTGAAGAACAGGGTGCTGGCGACTGTGGGGGACAAGCAGTGGGTCCCCTGCACCAGGTGGTATGGGAGTGCACCAGCAGTCAACATGTTGAGAGCCTACGGCTGCATGGTGGTGTTTCATGTGCCTAAGGAGAAGAGGGGTAAGTTGGAGGCTTCTGGGAAATGGGGTGTGCACTTGGGGCTTGCTAAGGATCACAAGGGCTGGTTGATATGGGACTTGACCAGCCAGCAGCTGACTGTGTCAAGGGATGTGAAGTTCCTTGAGTCCTTGTACTACAAGGAGTGGAAGCAGCAGCAGCAAAAGCTTCCTACTACACCGCTGATCATTGAGGCCGATGAGGTGCAGCAGCCTTCGAGGCAAGTGCAGGTCACTGTCTCAGAGGAGGAAATCTCTGGGGTGACAGAGGATGGGGGAGAATCTGAGGTGGAGGATCAGCAGCAGCAGCAGCAGCAGCAGCAGCAGCAGCAGCAGCAGCAGCAAGGTGCTCCACCACGTGCCCAACGTCCGCCTGACCGTCCTAGGAGGGATGTGCGCCCTCCTAACAGGCTTACCTAAAACTAGTTTTGGAAAGCCAAAGGTGGTACCTGCTGGGAGTGTGGCTGAGCAGATGGACGAGGATGAGATAGCCTACTGCTATGGAGAGGGTGTGGAGCTTAACGCCATGAGACAGAGGCTGTAGAGGGGTGCTGCAGATTTGGGCATAACGGAGATGTTTGGTTGTTCGTTGAGATAAGTGATGGAAAAAGATTGAAAGGGGATGAAGCTTGCTGGAATGAGTGTGCATTGAGAGTGCATGCTTGAGCTATGGCATGTGGGATGATGGTAGGCAGCCAGAGGGGGAGTTTGTTATGTGATGCTATCATTTGCATTCACTTCTGTCTGCCTCCCATCATATGTCTGTGCATTGCATGCGTGGTGTGAGCGTGTGCAAGAATTTGTGTTTGGTGTGGTTTGGATTCTCTGAGTATATATGAATGTCATTTGGCTTGAGCAGATATATGAAGTGACTCCTGTGCTCAAGAGCTTTCCGACGAACCAATAATCGTCGCGATCGGAGCAAGAACGACGAAGTTATGTTCGTTCGAAGCTTTGATTGGGATGCGACGACTTTGGGAAGTTGTGAAGTGACTCAATATGGGGTATAGACTTTTTGGGGGTTGGGAAATTCGTCACTACTACTGTAGATGATGCCAAGTGGTTGGGAGAAGCCAAACCAGGTTGGCAAGTGTGGCCAAGTTGGGTGAGGTGGATGGCATGGGTTGGGAAAGTGACAAAGTTCAAAGTTGGGGTGCATATAGGGAGGGAGATTGTGTGGTATGGGGTTTCCTTGGTTGGGGACTCCTCGGGGACCTTCCCTCTCGTCCTCCTCTCCCCTCCTACCTGGTTTCAATCTACTCTAACTTTCTTCTGTGAACTTGGGAGACAATTGTGATTGAGTTAAGTTTCTATGGCAGCATACCCCCTAGTGCGTCGAAATTCATAACTCACGAAATACTTTACCTTTGCGTGCGATTCAAATTGGAAAATGTAGCCACGGACTAGGGCTACAACATGTCTTAGTTTGGTGAAGTTTCTACTGTGAACTTTTTGTCGACGGCGTTTCTTGTGGAGTTGAGTTTTCTGTCCAGAGAATTAGTCCAACAATTTTGAGATACTTCAGCCCTTAAACGTTCTAGACTCCGTCCTTAGTCTCTAACACGTTGATCTCCGTCGTATTTCGGGTGTGAGCACGGATGGCGCCTCGGTGATGGTGGGGGCACAAAATGGTGTGGTTGCCCGTCTTCGGATGCTCATCCCCAACCTGGTCTCGTTCCACTGCATTGCTCACCGGTGAGTATCTGCTTATGCAGCGATGTGTAGACGCGGACTTTATTGTTTATATTCTAACCGAGTTTGTTGCAAAGTTTTGCAGGGAGGCGTTGGCTGCCAAAGCCGCGGCAGAGGCGATTCCAACCTTCAACATGGTTGACGACGTGATCCGCGCCGTCGCACAGTACCTTGGGCGGTCGTCACCGTGGCATGAGCGGTTCATGGAGCTGCAGGAGTTGTTCACGTCGACAAACCTCGAGGTGCAAGGAATTTGCGACGTCCGGTGGCTTTCAAGAGGTGCTGCAGTCGAACGCTTTGTCCAAGTCCTTCCCGCCGTCATGGTGATGTTGTCGGAGTGGAAGGACCAGGCCATGTACGAGCTCGTGACGTCGTACATGTTCCAGTTCCTGATCAGGTTCCTCGCGGACCTTCTCGAGCAGCTCAACGTCCTCTCGTAGGTTTTCCAGAAGCGTGAGGTTAGTATCTTGGGTGTGTGGCTTGTCTTGTTTCCAACACTAATCCCCGTGTATTGACTTATGTTTAACTTGTGTGTTGCAGCTCGACTACGCGTTGGTGCACACCCAGATTGTGCGCACAACCTCCCTGTTGGAGAGCCGGTACATCGATTGTGGTGATGACTTCGGGGGGGGGCCCAACGAGAGGCTGTACCGCTTCATTGAGAAGCATGGTCCGACGGGGTCACCAGAAATGGTGGTTGAAAGAGCATCGTCGGACGGCAGCCTCAACCACATCAAGATTACCCTACACGAGCGCACCAACCTGAACTATCGTGGGTTGGGTCATCACGACGCCTGCGTGGCGCTCTGCACCGACATGGCCGAGCTCGTCGTCGAAAACCTCCAGTCAAAGCTAGGCGACCTTGACTCTCTTTCCGGACGGATGGCAACCAAACTGGGAGCGGGACGCACGGCAGGCACAGTGTCAGGAGTGGCTGTTGTCGCTGGTCACGTTGTTCCGCGCAGATGAGTCCGACGAGATCCTACCAGGTCACTTTATGTGTTACCCCGTTCCCCCTTACAAACCGCATCGTTTACTAAACCCGTGTCTTGACTAACCTTGGAGGCATTGACAAGAAGCGGGCCTTTAAGGAGCTGCGGACTCTGTGTCCGGTCCTTGCCAGGGCGCCGAAGAGCGAGCGAAAGTTCCACACGGGACTTCATGCCATTCTCAAGACACCCGACTGGCAGCAAGCGTACCCCAACCTCGACGGCCTTTGGGTGGCTATTGCAGTGCTGCCTCTCAGCACTGTCGAGTGTGAGAGAGGGTTCTCTCGACAGAATCTCATCAAAACGTGGCAGAGGGGCAGTATTAAGGATTGCAGGCTGAGTGATCTGCTGTGTAGTTCAATGCTAGACTATGAGCTAGACGTCCCTGAGGTAGTAGAAATTTGGCGCAGCTACAAGAAGCGCCGGCCAGTCACAGCCCCTGCTGCAAGACACAGGGAGGAGCCCCTGAGGGCTGGGAAGGATGAGCCAGTAGTAGTACAGCGTGCTCCTGTAGAATCTCTGTCAGACTCTGATGCATATATGTAAATTTTGTTGGTGCCTTGATATCAGAGTGAATTTTGGTTGTTAGTCTGTAAGATCAGCGTAGAAATGTTTGTGCTGTCTGAACTTTCAGACTGAAAACTTGCAGCCAACTCTGACAGCCAGAGTACCAGGAGGGGTGCACTCTGAGCGATCAGAGTGCCCCAAAACGAATCTAGGGGCCTGATCACAATTCAGTTTCTGACAGATGCTTTGTGTCTGGTTCTATGTAGCATGATTGAAAAGGGTCAGATTGACACGATGTGCAGTAGGTTTCTCTGGGAAGATTTTTTGTTAGATTTGATAGAGGCAGCACGAGGGTTTAGGGATGAATGCAGGTGCACTCGCCACATCTGCTTCGCAGTCAGGAATCGCCAAGAGCAAATGTGTACCCTCGCTTCAAAAGTGTCCACTGCGTGTATCTCTTGTTCCTACAGTAAGTTTACTTTCGTTGCATCGTGGTTCAAAAGAGTGAAGCTCAATCACCGCTTCCACTCAGGGAGCCGGTATGAGGCATGAAGCATGAACTGTGACTGCACGCACTGGACACCTTTCACATCAGAAGTGGCTTGCAGAAAGGCACGGCATGCGGGTGCATGGAAGGCTGGCGCCTGTGGAGTATGTGCAGTGCACGTGTGGGTGGGCGGGGAGTGCAGGAACAGGGCAGCGGCAGCAGGAATCCAAAAAAGGCCTGTTGGAGGGCCACTGTATCTTGACACGGGCAGTGCTGCACACCTACAGCAGGAGGCGCCTGTTGGGGCGGTGCCGGCCCCCCACCTCCTCATGCCCTGCCCTGCTCTTCCCACACACCTCCGCCTCCTTCCCGCCTGTCATGCCCCCTTCGCTGCTCGCCTGCGCTGCACCCACCGCCCATGCACCTGCCGTTCCCATCTCGCCTCCTGCGTGGAAGCTTCCTGCTTGCTGCTCCGCTTGCACCCATGCCTGCTCGCCCCTGTGCTGCTCATCCCCCTGCTGCTCACCCTCCTGCTGCTCTAGACGCTGCTGCCCTTGCCTAATCTCCCTCTGCTGCTGCTCCGCCGCCTGCCCTGCTCCTGCACGCACACTCTCACGCCCCTGCTCTTCACCACTCCGCACCACCATCCCCGTCGCTGCCTCCCCTCTCTCCTCACTCACCTCATTCCCTCCCACATCATCCTTCTCTAACTCACTCCTCCCCCTTCCTCGCCCCCTTCCCACTGCAGCAATGCCTCTCCTCTCACCTCCACCCGCCCCTTGCGTCCGCTCACCCCTCTCACTCCCACCGCTGTGCCCTCGCCTCCTCCCATTGCCACTGCCACGTTCCCGGCTCTTTCCCTCCACCCCCTGCTGCTCCACACCACGGCTCGGCGCTGAGCAGGCACCACAGGCGGCCGTGCCACTCGCACTGCCGCGCTGAGTGCGTAGCGCCATGACCCGCCTGCTGCGCCGCACACCCATGCCCGCCACACCGCACTGCACACACACCCCGCCATCACCGCTGCCTGCTGCAACACCAGCGGCATCCGTGGCTGCTGCCGCCTCTCCTGCACCTCTCACCACACCAGCTGTTGCTGCATGCCCGCGTGATTCGCCACTTCTTCCGGCTCTCCCGTCACCCCCCTCGTCTACCCCGCCATCCCCCTCTGCCTCGCGACGGCAGCCACTGGGCGGGCTGGTCGACCCACCCTGTGAGCGGCGCCTGCCAGTGTGGCGGCGCTGAGCGCTCACCATCACACCACCACCGCCGCCACCCCCCCTGCCCTCCACCGCATCACCACCCCCCCCAAGATTCGCCTCACCGCCACCTCCCCTGCCCCCCGGGCCAGCGCCCCCTGCCGTGCGCATGTTGTGGCCCGTGATGGCATGGTAGCGCGCCGGGGGCAGGTGTGCCATGCGGCCAAACACCCGCTCGTACTCCCCCCACACCTCCCACCTGCCATGACGCCCCCGCACCGCGGCATACGCAGAGCACAGCAGGTGCAGGGAGTGAGCACGGGCAAGTGGAAGCAGGATGAGGGGCGTGAGAGTAAACAGTAAGGAAGCACCCGGCATGGTGGAGGCACGTGTCCCACGTGTGCTCTGCCTGCCATGGACTCGCTTCCAACATGCAGTATGTACAACGCACGGTGTGAGGGGAGGTGTAAAGAAGCAAGGAGGGCACATCATGTGGGCATGGCGCAGGGCACATCATGTGGGCATGGCGCAGGGCACATCATGTGGCCATGGCGCAGGGCAGCTTACCAATAGGCGAGGAACTGGAAGGGCGCATGGGCGGCGTATGCTCTTGCTGCCAGGGCGTCCACTGTGCCCGCCGTGCACCCCGCATGACCCCTCGCCTGCACCATGGGGAGGAGGGGCAATGAGGCACACGTGCTATGCTATTGTGTTGTGTGGAGTAGTCTAGTGTTACAATATATTCTATGAACTTTCTAAAGATGGTCTATTGCTTTGCGGCTTAATCCTATACTGCAGCATTTGAGTAGCAAATCGTCAAGGTCGTAATCGGCATGGTACGGCATAGCATGGCATGGTATGGCATAGCATGGCATGGTATGGCATAGCATGTCATGGCATGGAATGGTATGGAAATGGGGGCATGTCATGGCACAAGAGGTTGCTTCGTTTGCCACCTGGGCGGGCGGCACAGACCTGGGCGGGCGGCACGCACCTGGAGGTGGCGGATGGTTTCGGAGTCGGCGGGCACGAAGCAGAAGACGCCCATGCACTGCAGCGCGTTGGCCGATGAGAACGGGCCGAACCCCGGCAAGCGCTGCACCCTCTGCCTCACCGCCTCCTCCCACCCCACCTCCCCTTGCTTGCCCCTCCCACTCCCCCCTCTCTTCCGCGTGCCTGCTTGCCTCCGTCCCCCCATGGCGCTGTGAGTCGGCGGCACACTGCGATGGCAGGGCGCGGCCTCGCGTGCTGCAGGGCTGTCGTCACGAATCACAGGCGTCCGCTTCTCCACTGCTGCCTCCACTCCCTTCAACTCGCGCCCATTCTCGTCCCAACTCCTCCCTCTCTTCCTCCTGCCAGCCCCTCTCCTCGCATCCACTCGCACGTCGCCTGCCCCTCTCATGTCCTCGCCCTCGCCTGTCTGCGCGCCGCCCTCCCCACCTCCCACAGCCGCCTGCCCTGCCACCTCCCTCTCTGCACGTACTGCTGCCATGTCACAGCCGCTTGGCGGATTCTCCAGCAGGCAGTCCCTCTGGAGTGCTTCCAGGTCAATGGCACCAGATGCCACGTCAGCTGCCAACCTGGCAATCCGAGGGCCCAACCCGCACCTGCTAGTTAGGTACGAAATCTCCAGGCCTGCGAGCTCGTGAGGCTCGGGAAAAGCACCAACACACTCAGGCGAATCTGCAAGAGGCAGTAGGAGAAAGGAGAAAGAGGGGTTATGGTGCAGGAGAGAGGTGATGCAGCAGCGGGGCGATGGAAGTGCTTCATGGCAACAAGAGCCACAGCAGCGCCTGGCGTGACGCCACCCACCCGCTTGCCTCTCAGAGGACCTCCCTCATCGCCTCGTCTCCCTCCATCCACCTCCGCCGCACCTCCCCATGCACCGCATGCTCTGTGCCCTGGCACGGCTCTTCCCCTCCTCTCCTTCACGAAGGCGTTCATGACGGTGGAGCCTCGTCAGCGTGCTCATGCACACGTCTCGCTGAGAGGCCTGCCATCCCACCCACCGCACCTCCACCTCCATCCACGTGTGTCTTCGTTTAGGCACACAAGGCGAGCAGCAAGGTCGCAAGCTCACTAGTCAAGTATGGAGTGGTGCCGTGGCAACGGACAAGCACGAGCGCCCATGAAGTGCGATGAAGGAGGGAGTGAGGGCTTGAGGGCTCACCGGGCGCGCCGAGGGGAGGGCCGAAGTGGTGGCGGTGCAAGAGGCACAGCTCGCGTGCCATGGCCAGACTCCTGCCCCACCCGCCTGCACACCGCACCGCACCGCACAGCACAGCACAAGAGAGGCTGGCGGGCTATTAGGATTGGGGTGCTTGGCAGGTCGAAGAAGAGACAGGAGAGGAAGGACGGGGAAAGGACATGGACAAGAGGAAGGGTCGAGAGAGGAGGGGAATTGAGAGGAAGGGAATGGGAGCCAGAATATGTGAGTCAGGGGCTCCAAACCCGCTGACTCTCACGAAGCAAGGGGCTCACAGTTGCACAGCAGCTGCGCCTTGACGAGGTCCTCAACGAGTGAGGGCGACCGGAAGAGCCGCCCGAAGCCAGCAGCAGCGGCGGCGGGATGGCGGCGGTGGAAGGCTTGCACGGCGGCCTGGCAGGCGGGGGACAGCCGCAGCATGCGCTGCACCTGCGCCTGCAGGGGTGGTGAGAAGGGGGGGGAGAGGCGGGAAGGAGGTGGGGCATGGGGCGTACGTGAGAGTGGAGGCGAGAAGCGTAGGGAGGATAGAGCGGGGGAAGCTGAGAGGCAGCCCACATGTGAGGGGCAGCCCACATGTGAGAGGCGGATCTAGTGTGGGGCGGATCTAGTGTGGGGCGGATCTAGTGTGGGGCGGATCTAGTGTGGGGCGGATCTAGTGTGGGGCGGATCTAGTGCGGGGCGGATCTAGTGTGGGGCGGATCTAGTGTGGGGCGGATCTAGTGTGGGGCGGATCTAGTGTGGGGCGGATCTAGTGTGGGGCGGATCTAGTGCGGGGCGGATCTAGTGTGGGGCGGATCTAGTGTGGGGCGGATCTAGTGTGGGGCGGATCTAGTGTGGGGCGGATCTAGTGTGGGGCGGATCTAGTGTGGGGCGGATCTAGTGCGGGGCGGATCTAGTGTGGGGCGGATCTAGTGTGGGGCGGATCTAGTGTGGGGCGGATCTAGTGTGGGGCGGATCTAGTGTGGGGCGGATCTAGTGTGGGGCGGATCTAGTGCGGGGCGGATCTAGTGTGGGGCGGATCTAGTGTGGGGCGGATCTAGTGTGGGGCGGATCTAGTGTGGGGCGGATCTAGTGTGGGGCGGATCTAGTGCGGGGCGGATCTAGTGTGGGGCGGATCTAGTGTGGGGCGGATCTAGTGTGGGGCGGATCTAGTGTGGGGCGGATCTAGTGTGGGGCGGATCTAGTGTGGGGCGGATCTAGTGCGGGGCGGATCTAGTGTGGGGCGGATCTAGTGTGGGGCGGATCTAGTGTGGGGCGGATCTAGTGTGGGGCGGATCTAGTGTGGGGCGGATCTAGTGTGGGGCGGATCTAGTGCGGGGCGGATCTAGTGTGGGCGGATCTAGTGTGGGGCGGATCTAGTGTGGGGCGGATCTAGTGTGGGGCGGATCTAGTGTGGGGCGGATCTAGTGTGGGGCGGATCTAGTGCGGGGCGGATCTAGTGTGGGGCGGATCTAGTGTGGGGCGGATCTAGTGTGGGGCGGATCTAGTGTGGGGCGGATCTAGTGTGGGGCGGATCTAGTGTGGGGCGGATCTAGTGCGGGGCGGATCTAGTGTGGGGCGGATCTAGTGTGGGGCGGATCTAGTGTGGGGCGGATCTAGTGTGGGGCGGATCTAGTGTGGGGCGGATCTAGTGCGGGGCGGATCTAGTGTGGGGCGGATCTAGTGTGGGGCGGATCTAGTGTGGGGCGGATCTAGTGTGGGGCGGATCTAGTGTGGGGCGGATCTAGTGCGGGGCGGATCTAGTGTGGGGCGGATCTAGTGTGGGGCGGATCTAGTGTGGGGCGGATCTAGTGTGGGGCGGATCTAGTGTGGGGCGGATCTAGTGTGGGGCGGATCTAGTGCGGGGCGGATCTAGTGCGGGGCGGATCTAGTGTGGGGCGGATCTAGTGTGGGGCGGATCTAGTGTGGGGCGGATCTAGTGTGGGGCGGATCTAGTGTGGGGCGGATCTAGTGTGGGGCGGATCTAGTGCGGGGCGGATCTAGTGTGGGGCGGATCTAGTGTGGGGCGGATCTAGTGTGGGGCGGATCTAGTGTGGGGCGGATCTAGTGTGGGGCGGATCTAGTGTGGGGCGGATCTAGTGCGGGGCGGATCTAGTGTGGGGCGGATCTAGTGTGGGGCGGATCTAGTGTGGGGCGGATCTAGTGTGGGGCGGATCTAGTGTGGGGCGGATCTAGTGCGGGGCGGATCTAGTGTGGGGCGGATCTAGTGTGGGGCGGATCTAGTGTGGGGCGGATCTAGTGTGGGGCGGATCTAGTGTGGGGCGGATCTAGTGTGGGGCGGATCTAGTGCGGGGCGGATCTAGTGTGGGGCGGATCTAGTGTGGGGCGGATCTAGTGTGGGGCGGATCTAGTGTGGGGCGGATCTAGTGTGGGGCGGATCTAGTGCGGGGCGGATCTAGTGTGGGGCGGATCTAGTGTGGGGCGGATCTAGTGTGGGGCGGATCTAGTGCGGGGCGGATCTAGTGCGGGGCGGATCTAGTGTGGGGCGGATCTAGTGTGGGGCGGATCTAGTGTGGGGCGGATCTAGTGTGGGGCGGATCTAGTGTGGGGCGGATCTAGTGCGGGGCGGATCTAGTGCGGGGCGGATCTAGTGTGGGGCGGATCTAGTGTGGGGCGGATCTAGTGTGGGGCGGATCTAGTGTGGGGCGGATCTAGTGTGGGGCGGATCTAGTGCGGGGCGGATCTAGTGTGGGGCGGATCTAGTGTGGGGCGGATCTAGTGTGGGGCGGATCTAGTGTGGGGCGGATCTAGTGTGGGGCGGATCTAGTGCGGGGCGGATCTAGTGTGGGGCGGATCTAGTGTGGGGCGGATCTAGTGTGGGGCGGATCTAGTGTGGGGCGGATCTAGTGCGGGGCGGATCTAGTGTGGGGCGGATCTAGTGTGGGGCGGATCTAGTGTGGGGCGGATCTAGTGTGGGGCGGATCTAGTGTGGGGCGGATCTAGTGTGGGGCGGATCTAGTGCGGGGCGGATCTAGTGTGGGGCGGATCTAGTGTGGGGCGGATCTAGTGTGGGGCGGATCTAGTGTGGGGCGGATCTAGTGTGGGGCGAATCTAGTGTGGGACGGATCTAGTGCGGGGCGGATCTAGTGTGGGGCGGATCTAGTGTGGGGCGGATCTAGTGTGGGGCGGATCTAGTGTGGGGCGGATCTAGTGTGGGGCGGATCTAGTGCGGGGCGGATCTAGTGTGGGGCGGATCTAGTGTGGGGCGGATCTAGTGTGGGGCGGATCTAGTGTGGGGCGGATCTAGTGTGGGGCGGATCTAGTGCGGGGCGGATCTAGTGTGGGGCGGATCTAGTGTGGGGCGGATCTAGTGTGGGGCGGATCTAGTGTGGGGCGGATCTAGTGTGGGGCGGATCTAGTGCGGGGCGGATCTAGTGTGGGGCGGATCTAGTGTGGGGCGGATCTAGTGTGGGGCGGATCTAGTGTGGGGCGGATCTAGTGTGGGACGGATCTAGTGCGGGGCGGATCTAGTGTGGGGCGGATCTAGTGTGGGGCGGATCTAGTGTGGGGCGGATCTAGTGTGGGGCGGATCTAGTGTGGGGCGGATCTAGTGTGGGAGTGGTTAGTGCGGTGGACGAGAGGTGAGGGCGGACGAGGATGGCAAGGCGTGGTGGAGCAGAGGGGGGCAAGGAGGGTGAGGGCAGCAGTGAGCAGCAACGGAGGAGAGGGATGACAAGGGGTGGTTGGCAGGTGGGCAGGCGAGGCTTGGATGGAGGCAGCAAGGGCTCACGAGCAGGTGTGCGTGGTCCGCTGCAGTGATGGCCACCACCCCCATCACCCTCACTCGCAGCCATGACCCTTGTGCCACCGCCACACTCGTACCACTGCCAGGTACAGCAGCAGCAGCAGTAGCAGCAGCATCAGCAGCATCAGCAGCAGCATCACCAGTGGCGCTACTGATGACAGTGGGGGCATCCCTATCGCACAGAGCGTCAGCAGGCTCCTCTTTCAGGCCTGCGGCGCCATGCTGTGTGAGTCGCACCATCACCGCTCGCCCATCAGCCAGCCTCAGCGGCCGCCCCATCGCTCCCCATGCGTTCTCTCCCCCTCCCCATGCATTCCCACGCTTCCCTATCTCCTCCCCCTCATGCCGCCCATCCCCCGCCTCCCCCCTGTCTCCTTCCGCGCTCCCTTGTTCTTCCTCCGCCTCCTCTGTCTCCCATTTCACTCCCAGCCCCTCTTGTGCCGTTGATTCACTGCCACGTGGCGGGATCCAGACGGTCGGAGCCATCATGAAGAACCCGTAGCTGCAAACGGCGGCGGGGAGGGAGAACCCATCAGGCAGCGCCACGCAGAGACAGACAGACGGACCAGATTCAGCGAGCAACAGCGACGATTGCCGGCCGTCCGTGCCTTGACTGTTGGGAGAGGCAGCGCGGGGTTCCATGATGCGGGGCAGCGGGGCGCGCGCGAGGCTTCGAGCGGACCGGCGCGAGTGGGTGCGCGTGGAGCACGCGCTGCGAGGCAGCGCGCTCACACTCTCACAGAAATGGACGAGCTTTTGGTGGCGCTCAGCGGCTTTTGCAGTCCGACGCGGAGGCTTTCCTTCAGACAGACGAGTCGGTGCGCGTGACCCGCTTCAAGGTTGCTTCGACGATTCCTATGCGGAATCTACGCCAGTTCCTACTTTGCAGTGTACCGGATGGTATACTTATCAGCGACCTGTAATGCACTCAAGTCGGAAAACACAGAATGTAGTACAGTAACCTACCGAACGAGAAGTAACGAGGATAAAGGAGGTGGAACCGAGCTAGGCGAGGAAGTGATAGAATAGGTTCGGAAGAGAGCCGAAAGGTGCGGTGGCATCTTGCGAGTGGTTCGGGGCGAAAATGTAGGGGAGAATATCATGCAGGGGCCGAGCAGTGCCAGAGGGGTGATCAACCAGGGGCCGAGAGGCCCGGAACTTACCAAACCGCTTTGCAAGGAGGGATTAACAGAGGGTCTTCATTTATTGCACGTAATTCTGTTACTAGTGGCATGTACCGGCAAGCATTTTCGCTCGCGTGTCGTTTAGCGAGCCGACTCTACCGGGAACTCTAGGGCAGCAAAAAAAAGACCTAAAACTCATAAGGAACCTGGATGCAATTTCGGGATGGATCAACCCTAAAAAAGGGGACCTTTCTGGTATTTAGGGTTGATCCCTCCCGAGTCGCATCCGTTTCCGAATGGGTAATACTTTTTTTTTTCTTGTGGTTTCCGATCGGGTAGGTGATATGTATCACCCAGAATATATTATGTTGTTACGTAGTAACGATTTGACACGCCGAATTCAATTCCAGAAGAAGGCGACGCGCGCGCTGTAGTAGACGGCGGTCAAAACCCTCAATAAAGAATACGAACATAAAATTTGGTTTGTTTTAGCAATTTTCTTTGACTCATGGTTCGGCTTGTTCGCCGAGTCGTTTTGTCAGCTCCGGGTTGAAATCCTACGGTCGAGATTTTTCGGCCCTACTTCGATCACCCCTCTGGCACTGTTCGGCCCCAATATGATATTTTCCCAAAATGTAGGCCGAACCAGCTGCACCAGCGACTCGGCACGAATTCGCTAAAGTGCGTCTACAAAGTACATTTCCTTGCACCATGCAATCAACACAAACTAAACACATGATCAATACCGATATGCACAGCTCGTGGATCATTTTCACTTTCCGCAACAGTCAAAACCTAGATGTGACCTGGACAAATTCTACAGTGAAGTGAGTGTGTTCAATGGGACGAGGGACGGCTTTCACAACGAGAGTTGGAAGGGAGCGCATGGTTGCTTGGATGGGTGTTGTGGCTGCATTGATGGCCGTGTTGTGGGAGTGTTGTTGCTTGATCAACACCGGTTCCGGCAACAAATGGAGGGACCTCGCACAAAAAAAAGATTGCAAGTTGCTGTCGTTGAAGGAGGTCTTCGATTTTACTCAGGTGCTCCCAGGGGCTTTCGTTTAGGTGCTCTCATCAGGGCGGCATCAGGTGTCAGTGTGTGTCAGCTCAGCTGCTGTATGCCGGAAGCTAGCGCTGCTACTATGAACATGGTGGGCTGCCCATGCAGTGGCATGCGTGGGGAGCGGCATGGCAGCGTGGGGTGTGCAAACAGCGAGCAGGAGGGGAGGGGCGTGGGGCAGCAGGAGGACAGCTAGGTGGGCACGAAGTCATCCACATGGCCACCCTCACTGTGCACCACGGCTGCCAGCCTGCCGCCCAGCACGGCCAGCAGCAGCACCACGGCAGCCAGCAGCAGCATCTGCAGCACCCCCTCCACTGCCCTCTCCAATGCTGTCACTGCCGCCACCACCCATGCCCTCACTCCCCTCTCCCCCACCACTTCACCTCCGCCCTCCTCTGCGTCCTCCCCCTCACCCCCATCCGTGTTGCTGTCTCCAGCAGTGGTCTCGCGGCTCAAGCCCCCATCACAGCTCTCTCCCTTGCCCATTTGTCGCTCGGCCTGTCTGCTGTGAGCACTGCTCATCCTCCCCCCACCGCCACTCACACTCGCACACACAGCACGCGCCTCACCACCGCTGCACGCCTCGCTGCTGCCTTGCCGCACCGTCGCCCCAAGCCCCACTGCCCCACTCACTGATTCACACTCCTCCCCGTTGCCCTTTCCCTTCCCCCCTGCGCCCTCCCTCCCCTGTGTGCCAGCTCCCAGCGCATTGCCTCTCCCTCCACACTCCTCTCCTCCCTCCACCTCCTCACCGCATGCACCTCCCTCCCTGTCCTCGCCCCGCCCCTCCCCCACCTCCTCCACGAACTGCTCTAGCTCTGCCACGGCCTGCTGCTGCTCCCTCTCACTCGCCTCCAGCACCCTCACCTCCTGCTGCACCTCCTCCTCCCACGCGCCCTCGCCTGCACCACCAGTGACAGCATCATCAGCATTAGTAGTGGCAGTGGCAGTGGCAGTGGCAGGTGCAGGTTTGATCGCAGCACTCTCTGCCACTTGTTCCCCACTCGCACTAAGTCCAGGCACACCGATCCTGCTTGGAGGCGCCTCACATGTGAGGCTGTGGGCAGCCATTGGGTTGTGGTGCATGCTCCACTGCCCACACTCCATGGCGCCACTCATGTGGGGGGGAGGAGACCCGCTGTTGCCGCTCGTGCTGCTGTCTGCTGTGGGCGTGGTGAGAGCAGTGCTGCTGCTGCCACCGCCGCCCTGGGGGCCGGTAGGAGTGCGGGTGGCATGGAGGGGCGAGCGCGCGGGGAGCACGTCGACCTCGTCCCCGGTGACGGGCGTGTGCTGCAGACTCCTCGCCAGCGCTGCCAGCGGCACCGGGCACTCCAGGTCCTCCGGGCGGATGGGGGACGCCTGGGGGCGATGGGGGGATGGGGGGATGGAGGGATGGGGGGATAGGGGGATGGGGGGATGGAGGGATGGGGGGATGGGGAGATGGAGGGGAGTTTGAGGAGGCAGAGTGAGGAGGGTGTGGGTCTGAGGCTGGAGAAAAGGATGGGGTTAATTTGCATTGTGGGACGGAGGGATGGGAGGGGCACAAGGCAGGTGGAACCATGGGATCGAATGGGGGAGGAGAGGGAGAGGATGGATGTGGGGTATAGCAGATGAGCAGAACGAATGAGTGAGTAGTTGGAGAACGGAAATGGAGGGGAAGCGAGAAAGAGATGGATTGGCACAAGGAGAGCGAAAAGTGCAAAGAGAGGGATCAACGGAAGGGAAATGTGGGAGAATAGCTCTTTGTGAAAAGGGAGCGATAACTGTGAGGAGGGGGATAGGAGTCAGGTTGGCGATACGTGTAGGAGGAGAGTGAACGATGGGAAGCAGAAGGATAGGTGTCAATGAGAAGGGCAGGTTGGGAGGAGGGGGACAGTTGGCAAGGGGGGGCACTGGGGAGGAGAGGGAGAGGTGGGGAGGAGAGGGAGAGGTGGGGAGGAGAGGGAGAGGTGGGGAGGAGAGGGAGAGGTGGGAGGAGAGGGAGAGGTGGGACCCGGTGTGCTCACATATCGGTGTTTGCTGGTGGTCTCCCCTGCCCTGCTCGCCCGCACACTGCCACACAGCGACTGCATCGCACCCACATGCTGCACCTCCCCTCCGCCTCGCGCTGACGTGGCACTGCCTCTGCCTGATGCCACACTGTCCCGCGCTGACGTCACACCACTCCCCCCGTCCATAAAGAGCGCCATGGGCGGGGGCGGCTTACCCTGCAGCGTCCAGCGGCCAATGCTGCCCGGCGGGGACAGGCAGCTCGCCCCAAACCCACTCGCCTCCTCCCGCCCCTCTCCTTGCCCCTCCCCCTGCCCGTCCTCACTCTCTCCCTCATCCCCTTTGTGCACCCGCCCCAGCCCGGCGCCTCTCTCCTGCTGCCCCTGCAACTGCTGCTCCACGGGCTGGGAGGGCGGGGCGAGCTGCATGCTGGCTGGGAGTGGGGGAGGCGGGGCGAAGAGCACGGGTGTGGAGGGCTGGGCGTGGGAGGGCGGGGGCGGCTCAGACGTGCGGTGCAGTGGTGGTGGCGCAGAGCCCATGGGGAGCGTGGCGCGGTGGGCGTTGCTGGCGCTGCTGCTGTAGCTGCCGTCCTTACTGCTGCCCGTGGGGTTGCTGCTGAAGGGCAGGGCAGCACAAGATGAAGGGGGGCAGGGCAACGCATGGAGGGATAGGCAGATAAAGAGGGGTGCACGGCGTGCGGGGAGAAAAAGGGGACTTGGAAAGCGAAGGTAGGCATGAGTGCATGGGAGGTGTGCGCCTCAGCGCAGCAGAGAGGGCGTGGGTGGCGCACCTGAGGGCGGAGAGCGCGTGAGTGGCGCGCATGCTGGCGAGAGCCGAGGAGACTTCAGCGTCGGAGATGAGGCGGCAGAAGCCCGACGACCCCTCCCACTCGCTGCTGCCCTCACCACTGCCCCCGCCTGACCCTCTGCTGCCAGGAGAGCTGCCCGCTGCTGCTGACGCCTGTGCCGACTCACTTTTGTCCCCGGCACTCCCAAGGGTCCCCGCCCCCTCTCCCCCCGTGGCCAAGTGTGCTGCCAGCACCGCTCCACTGCCCCCTCCACCTCCCCCCTCCCCGGCCGCCTTGCAGTCCGCTGACGGCTGTGCAGCCCCCGCCCCGTGCTCCACGTCCCCACTCAGCCGCACAAACACCCCACTGCTGCCCATGCCCACACCGCCACCCGCCCCTGCTCTGCTGCCCACGCCACCACTGTTACCGCCCTGTGCACTGGCGGACGAGCCTGCATGGGGTGACAGGTGCAACAGGAAGCCCTCCTGCCCTGATCCCTCCCCCACACCCCCTGCCGTGCCCGCCTGCATGCTGCCTGCTGGCTGCGAGGGCAAGAGCGGCGAGGAGAAGGGCGAGGCCAGGTGGTGCGAGCGGCCCAGGGAGTCACGTGCGTGGGGTGAGTGAGGGGCCATGGCGGAGTCTGTGGTGAGGAGGCAGGAGGGCAGCAATGCGGGGAGCGGGGAGAGGCGACCAAGGTGGGGCGTGGATGGAGGTGGGTGAGGGAGCAGAGAGGGGATGGAGGGGCGAGTGAGACAATCTGGCAAGCACGCGCAAACAAAGAATGGCCACACATATGAATAAAAGCATGAGTGGGGCACACCTGAGAGAGTGATGCGCATGGGGGCACACCTGAGAGAGTGATGCGCATGGGGCACACCTGAGAGAGTGATGCGCATGGGGGCACACCTGAGAGAGTGATGCGCATGGGGCACACCTGAGGGCGCGTGTCTTTTGGTGTAGAGGTTCAAAAATAAGGTCGAACTTTTGGTGGTAACCAGCTTCGCGGATTTCGTTTAGAGCTGTTGACGACGATCGTGTGTTCAAGCTCAAAGTTGAAGAAAACAGCAGGACACTGAACTTGGGTCGACCTAGCATTCACTAAGCCTCGAGCACGTTTCTGCAAACGTGTGTTCTTCTGCCCACGGACGAAGAAGCTGCGAGCTTCGCGACGGTAACGAACCACGTCGTGACAGGTTACACAAATTTGATTTGTTTACGGAATTTACTGTATAGACCGGGTAACCTACGAAAGTTGGGCGCGACTCGGATTTTGCTGTACATATTCGAACTTTGAAAGTCGAGCACTTCTTGTGCCATGTGCTCCACGTCAAAGGTGAACACGCGACTCGACAGTAAAATGATGGGTTAGTCGACTACAGGTCGACCAGTGTTCATCTGCCAAAATTCGACTAAAAAACGTGAACTTTGGCCTAAAATCAAGACACGCGCCCTGAGAGAGTGATGCGCATGGGGCACACCTGAGAGAGTGATGCGCATGGGGCACACCTGAGAGAGTGATGCGCATGGGGCACACCTGAGAGAGTGATGCGCATGGGGCTCCCTCTGCCGCCCCCCTCACCAGCAGCACCGCCCAGCGTCCCCCCCGCCATCCTGCTGCCCCCCAGGCGGTACGCCCCCAGCAGGTCCGGGCTGCCGGAGGTGAGGCTAAAGGTGCCGAGCCTGCCAGAGAGGTCCGGCGACTTGCGGGCGCGCACAAAGGCAGCAGCGAGCTCGTAGAGGGGCGAGTTGGCGCGGCTGTGTGGCGACCTGGCCTTGCCTCCTCGCACCGCCTCACGCCCCTCGCCACTCGTGCTGGGTGACAGGCTGCTCCTCACGTTGCCCCTGCTGCTCTCACTCGTGGGGCTCCACTCCTGCCCACCAATGCCACCACCGTTGCCAGCGCCGTTGGCAGCAGCAGCCCGCCCCATGGCCTTGTGCCCGCTGGCCCCAGCAAAAACATTCTCCTGCTCTCCATGCCCACCCGCCCTGCCTCCTCTCCCCCCTGCGCCCCCCCATGCTGCTGCCTGCTCACTCAACGCATGCGGCACCGGATTCGACTCAAACGACTTGGCAGCGGAGTGAAAGGGCAGCAAGTGAGGCGAGAAGGCGCTGTGCGGCATATCCCGTGGCCCCACGTCGTCGTGGAACACCCGCCGCCGCACCGACCGCATGTCCTCTGGACTCTCACCACTCCCACCATGGCCTGGGGACACAAACGCTTTGCCTTGGGTGGAACCGGCTCCGAGGTAGAGGGAGGGCGAGGGGCCGAGGTGTGAGAGGGAGGCGGGCGAGCGCGCGGAGTAGGGCGCAGAGGGGGGCGGCGTGGCGGAGAGGGCGCTGCCGTGCACCGCCGTGGTGGTGAACGTGGCGCTGCCCCGCGCCTGGAAGGCCGTGAACTGCCCTGCCGGACTCTGAAACGCCAAACTTTCCTCTGATGCCGCTGCTCCCTGCGCCCCCCCTGCTTCCGCTTCTGCTGGCGCTGCTGCTGCGTGTGTGGAGGAGTGCAGAGAGGAGGCGTGGTGGGGCAGGGCGGGCAGGGGGGTGAAGTAGAGCGTGGGGTCGCGTGGGGGAGGCTCCGATGGCTGTGAGGCTGCTCGTGCAGCAGCGGGCGCAGGCACGCCGTGGGCGAGTGGAAGGGGCGCGGTGCGGGCAGCAGAGGAGGAGGCAGCTGAGTGCGTGGGCGACGTGGGACCCTCTCCCTCGCCCTCTGCCCGCCCCTGCTGCTGCCACCCGTGCCGACCCTCACCCGCCTTGCTCTCATCGCTCTCAGCACCCATCCACGCCTGGCTCCTGCTGCTGCTGCTGCCCGCACCGGGCGTGGCGTGGCGAGGAGAGTCGGCGGGGTGGGCGTGCGGTGTGTGCGTGGCAGCGTCGGGGCGCCAGCGCGCTGCTGCCTTGGTGGCTGACGACGTGGCGCCTGGCCTGGGGAAGTGCTTCTGATGGGTGCAGGGGGCATGGGGGGCGGGATGGGTGATGGGAGAAAGCAGGGTAGAGCAGGAGAGTGCAATGAGGAGGGAGAGTGCAATGAGGAGGGAGAGTGCAATGAGGAGGGAGAGTGCAATGAGGAGGGAGAGTGCAATGAGGAGGGAGAGTGTGCAAGAGCTGCGAGAAGGCAGAGAAGTGGAGCGAAGTGGGAAGACAAATGAGTGGCCGTGTGGAGCCTGTGCAGGCAGCGAACCGTGTGGTGTGGCCCTTAGAGCGCGTCACAATTGAAATATCGAGGAAGGATCGAGGGTGTTCACCGATCCTGCCAAATCGATCGCCACAACACATTTTTGCAATCGCGGGCCCACCGCAAGTCTCAAGTGACACGATCTAGTAATTATGGGGCAAAATTGCACGATGTGGAAAAAATTGCACGATCGATCGCCTGACTCCCAGGGGCCACGATCGTTGTCACCATGCAACTGCCCTTTTGCGAACAATGACGAAAATCTGTAACCACTAATTAGCGACGTCGCGAAAGTACTGTACCCGCGGCACACCGATCCTGCGCAGGATTGATGTTGCAGCGAACATGCGTCCTTATGCCACCCTTCTGCTCTAACACATGTCCAGCAAACAACGCTCCCCTTGGACCCTGGGTTGCCTCAAATCCCCATGCATGCATGCAGGCAGGCACGACGCAGCAGGACCCATCCTACTAATTGAAAGCATGGCATGTCGTGCCACATGTCTCCCCCAGCGTGACAGCGCACCTTCTTCTCCTGGATGGCCTTGCCAGCCGCCAGCGCGTCGGGCTTGAGCTTGGGGTGGTTGGCGGCCTCCCTCAGCAGCGCCACCACGTCTCTCAGCTCCGCCTGGAACACGGCTGCGCTGCAGCTGCTGGGGACACAGGGGGGGGCACCAGGAGGCCAGTGCGAGGCTAGCAAGTTTAGAGAGGAGCTTCCGTGGATAACGCGCAGGCAGATTGAAGTAATGCAGGGGAGGATCAAAGAGGCGCACTGTGGCTGCCGAGGTGATGCTATGGCGTTGAAAGGGTGCCATGCGACGAGCACAGGTGGACGCTCCAGTGAACCTTGTGAGTCCAGGGCGCGTGTGGCAGGCATCGCTGTAGTCGTCCGGTTTAAACCCCGTGCGGGCCACTCGACACACAGGGCTTCTGACGGAGACAGGCATGTGTGGGACTCAAGTCACGCGCACTCTCCCACACACAGATGGTGACACGAGGGTATGACTTCTCTCCCACGACTCACTCTTGACCACTCAAGGCCCACACCCACGCCCATGCCTTATCAATCAGCCCCACAGCTTGCACAGCCCCACAGCTTGCACAGCCCCACCCCTCACCGTTGCGCACCTCGCATCCCACACTCCTCCCCTACGCATTCCCCGTCCTTCCCTCCGCCCCTCACCCTTCCCCCCACCTGCGCATGGCGTCCTTGAGCAGGCGCACGGCGTACAGGCGGTGCTCCACGGACGCCGCCCCCCGCAGCACCTCCTTGCCCGCCCGCAGCAGCGCCTTCGCGTGGAACTGCCACCGAGAGGGAGGAGGGAAGGGAAGATTAGGGGGCACGGGGAGAGCGAGGCACGCAGCGTGAAGGTGGAGCGCGGACAGCAGTGGAACAGGCGCTGGTGGAGCCATGCATGTACAACAAGGCAGTCCGCTGCTACGACACAGAAGCAGCGTGCAAGTGATGAAGCACATGGCGCATGGCAGAGGCAACGACCTTGGCGAGGGAGGCGTCGAGGTGGCACAGCTCGCATGCCAGCTGCAGCAGCGCCAGCGGCCGCTGCACGCCGCCCAGCGCTGCTGTGAGCGCCTTGAACGCCCTCTCCTGCGATGCCTTGGGCACCTGCTGGCCATGCACCATGCACGCACACATGCACACACGCGCACACGCACACACAACCCCCCACACACACACACACACTCCCACCCACCCCCCCTCCCCCTTCCGCACGCACGCACGCACGCACGCACGCACGCACGCACGCACGCACACACGCACACACACACACACACACACACACACACACACAAAGCTGATTGTATGTGCACGCGAACTGCACAGTAAGCATAAATTCAGCCAACTCTCCAGTCAGACGAGTGCAGGGTGATTGTTGGCAGATGACAGAGAGCACAGCAGGCAGAGAGGGACATGGCAAGCACAAGTGCGCTGCTTTGGAATCCGCTTGCCACACATCTAGCCTTGTGCGCAATGTGCCCCTCAATCAGTCCGCCCTCCCACACTCGCCTGCTTCCACTTGTCCGCCTGCACCAGCGCCAGCAGGCACCTGGCCGCGCCCGTCAGCGCCTCATGCTCCGCGCCCCCTGCTGCCCCCGCCCCGCCCCCTCCGCCCCCGCCTGCCCCGGCTGCGTGGTGCTCTGCCAGCTCCGCTGCGAGCGGGTCGCAGATGGCCGCCAGCACTGCGCACACACGCAGGGCCACAGCCACCACCGCTCAGGGCGAACAAGAATGCATCAAAGAAAGGCACTGCCAGTCGTATGGTGGAACAAATCGGAAGGAAGAGCACGGGCAGTGGGTGGGACATCCGCGATTGCGCACGTGCACTGCATCGTCAGCGGGAAGCGCACCTATGTGAGTCTCCGCCGTGGCGGCGGAATCAGCAGAGGGGCCGGGGAGCGGCGCAACGCAGTGAGTGGCCATCTCCACCACCACGTCCGCGCACGCCGCGTGAAGCGACGCCGCGCTCCTGCCGCCGCTGCTACCGCCGCCGCCCAGTGTGCCTCCTGCCGCGGCCGCCACTCCACCGCTGCTCGCCATGCTGCTGCCGTTGGCGGCGGCGGCGCCTGCGGCGAGGGCGCGCACGAGCGCAGTCATGACCTTGGGGACGTGCAGCGCCATTTGCTGGCCGTACGTGCGCGCGCACTCCGCGAACAGCGACACTGCCACCACGCACGCAACCAGCACCGCCTTGTTAATTCTGACTCTTAAGTGGCGCACGCTGTACCTTGTAATGCACAACCGACAATGCACGATCCACCTCATGCTACAGTGAGCAGCCAGTGTTGAACGCGAGCCCATCAGTCGTACGGACTGCGATCCAATCGCTCGCGAGCCACGCTGCAACGACGCGACAAGCAATGCATGTTTGGCGCCCCTCACCGGCATATCGCTTGCTGCTCGTGTGGCGCACTGTCGTCTCCGCCACGTGGTGCAGCAGCCGCGGCATCACCTCGGGGGCCACGTCGTGCACCGTTCGCCTGCCGTCAACGGAAACGGATCACGGCAAGCACGGATGGCAATGGAATCGCGGGCGCTACGTGGAAGTCGACAGAATTCACGAAAAGCCTAGATGTTCAGCTTTTGGGTGAAAAACTCTGCAAGCCCCGGAGATTCCATCGGCGCAAGCAGCACAAAGGCAATAACATAAAACGGTAAACTCTAAGGCAGTGCATCAACGGTATGGCAGTGGCCTCAACGCATGGCGGTACCTGAGAGCCGCCATGGACCCTCTCCTGGTGTGCGGGTCCTCGAGAGCCTCGAGCGACTCCCGAAACACGGGACTGGACCATCCCGACATCCCGCTCCTCCTGCTCCTCCGGCTACAAGACCAAGCCTAGGTAGCGCGATGGAGAACTATTTCGACATAGGAGATGCCAAAAAGAAACCAGTACATGCCAGCGATCTCGAAGGGTCTGCTGGGCTGGAGTGAGAAACGATGAAGAGAAACGGTGCATCGACTGATGACACACTATTGGGAATAGTTGCCAGGGAATACTGACTGAGCTGAGTGATGGGGGAGATGGGTGACGACCAATCGCAGCCCAGCGAGATCCCTGAAAGCACCAGCCAGCGTTAAACATATCCTCGGTCTCGACTAGTGGTGATTGGTGGAGCATTTGGCGCGAAAAGGAGGCATAATGGGCCAATATCAGCGGCATTCAAAATTTGCCAGTGCGGGTTTGCAAATGCATTCCTTTACCAGTCTTTACTGGAAAGAAGCTGAGGGACCCCTCTTCCAGTCTTGGCCCGTGTAAATTTTCCTGACACAAGGCTATCGACAGCTCCGATCTTTCCACGTCATCATCAATTGAATCCGAACCCTTCAGAGCTTCGTGTCAGCCTGCCTTACACCGACACAGAACCCTGGCTGTCTTGAAAACCGTCCGTTATCTGCTTGCGGTCAGAAAAATGAACCCAATCTGGATGACATTCGATTAGGGAAGAACCAATCCTGAACATGGGTAACTGCATGGTGTTTAAAGCTGTCGCCTACATACTTCCTGCGGGAGGACCAGGTTTATCACTTGAAAACCTGGTAGCACTGAGCTTCGCTCCAAGCTTGAGTGGCGAGGTGCAGTTACTGCTCTCTAACAACCCAATCCCCCCTCTGAAAAGTGGCCAGCTCAGGATTGGCTTACAATTTTCGCGCCAATCTCCTCCCCAACCTCGACTGGTTGAGGGTTGTGGCGAAATCGCGAACACAACCCCAACCTCACGAAATAAGTACCCCCCAACCGAACCATGCACGAAACTGGCGGGATTCGCCAGTTGTGTTTGAAACCTTCGCGCCCTCTTTTCTGGAAAAGGATTATTGAGTGAGCAAATCAGACTGCGTCCTAGGGTGTGCACCCGAAATACCCCCTGAAAATACCATTTCGAATGTAGACCGCATCTTTAAGGTTGACCCTATCCCGATGGGGTTTATTGTTTAACGACGTTCAGTTGACGGCCGGTCGTCTGTGGACGTTGCCCAACGGGCCTACATCTTTTATCCAATACAAGCAGAGGAATGTATTTGCAAGCCTGCACTGGCAAGAATTGAATGCAGATAATATTGGCCCGAGAGATAATCAAAGGAAAATATGAAAGGTGTAAGGAAATTTTCTGGATTCCTTACCTCACACCTAAATAACGCGTACAACAATCTCTTATCCATAATTAGGAAATAATTTTCCTTTTCGCGTCGCTACCTCTACCGCGTACAACATTGTTCCCACCATTTTTGCCCAAATAATATATCCTTACCACCTCACGACATTCACCTCAACAATGTTCCCGCCACCACTACTGTCGCACATGAACCATACGGCTCGGCCGGTAACCCGCGGCCCGGCCCTACGCCTCGACAATTCCCAACCTCGGCGCTAGGCCTGAAGGGCACCCCTTGTGAGTACTTTACCGTTACCACTTGCTTTTGCTATTTAACGATTCGCGCATGCATACGCTTATTGTATATTTTTGCTTCAATAGTGCAATTCTCGCTCGCTCAATCATTTGCATTCGTTACATCAGTTTTACTTACTGATAACATTTTTGGAATCTACGCGGCAGCTCGTTCTTAGTGGTATAGCCTATCCATCGGCCATTGTACCACCTAGGTGTCAACAGACTAAGCGAGAATGGATGAAACTAGAAACAAGGTGGGTACAAGTACTAACCCTAATTGGGTTGTACCCCATATGGGCTACCCCACTATAGCCTACACAACACACAACATAACAGTTTGACACACCCCACAGGCAAAGTGGGGGAGAACAAGGGGTCACAAGACCAGTCAAGAAAAGCAAAGCAAGCTCAGGGTGGATCACGAAGTCACCACACACTCTGAGCACAAGCAAATGGGCACAAGGCCAGTTCACATGCAGAGTTATATAATGGAGAACAAGCAGTACAGTGATCACAACCTAGCAAGTATAAGCATGCAGGTATATGTATATAGACCACAGTACAAGCAAAGTCAAAAAGTGAGCAAGTGAGACCAAGTAGGTACAAGGCCTAAAACAGTACAGAAACGCTGATGATCACAAGGCTGAAGTGCCTTGGTGAATATATCAGCAGTGTTGGCCCGAGAGGCCACGTAAGCAAGACAAAGCTGACCACGCCGCTGCAACTCTCGAGCAAGGAAGTAACGCAGAGCGATGTGCTTCGTCCTGTGCTCCAGTCTGTGCTCCTGACACAAGGCAATCATGGCCTTGTTATCGACGTACAGAACTGGAGGAGAACGAGGCGGCTCTCCCAAGTCGGTCAGCAGGTAGGTGAGCCAGCGTAACTCCTGTGCAGCCATGGCCCCTGCGTAGATCTCAGCCTCACAACTGGAACTGAGAACAGAAGACGAGCGGGTAGACCGCCAAGAAACAGAGCCGGAGCCAAGGCTGAAAGTGCAACCCTGTGACGACCGCTGCATAGCGAAGTCGTCAACCCAAGAAGCGTCTGCGTGTCCAGTGAGGACAACTCGACCCCGTCCTCCAAGCACGAGCCCCATGCCCAACGTATTGCACAAGTAGCGCAACACCCTCTTAGCGGCCTCCCAGTGCTCTGGTCGGTGTCTCCCGGGCGCAACGCAGCGTGCCAGGATGCTAAGAGGGTAGGCAAGGTCAGGTAGAGTGCAGGTCATCAGGTACATGAGGCAGCCCACAAGCTCTGGATACGGGCCACTCGGCTCTACGGACTCGTCCAAAGGCAGAGCTGAGAGCGAGTGACCGGTAGGCAGAGGAGTGGACTGTGGCGAGGAGTACTGGAAGCGGAAGCGCTGAAGGACCTGCTGCACCATGTGTGACTGGGTCAAGGTAATGGTGCGCCGTGCTCTGTCCCGGGTGATCTGCCAGCCAAGATAGCTGCGCAGCTCACCCAGGTCTGTGCACGTGTGTCTCTTCTGCAGCTCTGACTTCACTAGGGCCAGTCCCCCAGTGTCAGCAGTGGCAAAGACCAAGTCGTCGACGTACACGAGGATGTAGAACGGCGGCAGCAAAGTGTCAGTGCGTAGAAACAGCGACGGGTCAGCAGTCGAAGGAGCAAACCCAAGAGCCGCAAGCGTCGTCCTCAGTGTGTCGTGCCACTCGCGAGGCGCCTGGCGGAGACCGTAGACTGGCCGCCGGAGGCTCCAC